AAAAAAAATAAAATAAAAAAACTCAAAACATTCATCTACCCAAGTTATATATATATATATATAGTCCATCCATCAACATTCAAACTTAGAGAGTTTTCCCTTTGTGCATAGATATCTTATATTAGCTATGGAGAAGGAACAACCAAAGTTCAAAATTCTTATGTTCCCATACTTAGCTCATGGCCATATATCTCCCTTTCTTCAACTTGCCAAAACACTCCCATCAAGAAACTTCACTATCTACTTATGCTCAACCCTCGTCAATCTCGACGCCATAAGAGCTAATTCCGAAACTCCGAGCTCAATTAAACTAGTCGAGCTCCACGTCCCACCGACTCCCGAGCTACCACCTGAGCTCCACACAACCAAGAATCTCCCATCCAATCTCATAAGACCACTATTAAAGGCCTTCCAAGCCTCGAGCCCTAGCTTCATCGAAATACTAAACTCAGTAAAACCCGATCTTCTGATATACGATTTCTTCCAGCCGTGGGCCCCGAAACTCGCCTCTTTGAATGGAATACCTAGCGTTTATTTCTCAACTTCCGGCTCAACAATATTCGCGTACACACATCATGTGCACACGATGGGGACGAGCTCCACTTTCCCTTTCAAGACAATACATATACCCGAGTTTGACGGACATAAGATAGGGAACGTACTCAAGGCGCTTGTAAAAGATGCCAGTGACGATTTTGCGTTCGGTAACTTGGCACGAAGCCATGACATTGTTTTGGTAAGGAGTTGTCGGGCGGTGGAACAGAAGTACATGGACTATGTTTCCGTATTGTGCAAGAAACGGATAGTACCCACAGGCCCACTCATAATGGATGCCAATGATGACAACCATGAAAGCATTAAGGACCAACAATATTCGGATATTATGAAGTGGCTAAGGGACAAAGAGCCGAGCTCGACAGTGTACATTTCCTTCGGGAGCGAGTATTTCCTGTCAGAAACGGAGATAGCCGAAATAGCAAAAGGGCTACGAATTTGCGGAGCGAATTTTTTGTGGGTCATAAGACACCCACACGGCGAGAAGAACACCGACATAGAAGAGAAGCTTCCGGAAGGATTCCTCGAGGCCATGAAAGGTAGAGGGATGGTGACCGAGAAGTGGGCCCCACAGACTAAGATTCTGGCCCACCCGAGTGTAGGAGGTTTCGTGAGTCACTGCGGGTGGAGCTCGATCACGGAGAGCATGTACTTTGGCGTCCCGATTATAGGCATGCCGATGAAGTCCGAGCAGCCAGCGAATGCCAGGCTGGCGGTGGATGTCGGGACGGGGATTGAGGTCCCCAAGGGTAAAGGTGGAAATTACAAGGGCGAGGACTTGGCGAACGCGATCGACAGGGTGATGAAGGAGGACGAGTTTCGGGTTAGAGCTAAAAGGATGAGTGAGAAGATTAAAGAAAATGCCGAGCGCGAGGCCAACGAAACGGCAGAGGAGCTGTTGAAGATTTGCATGGAGAATAAGAAACAAATGTGATACCTATTTCGTTTTCCTTAATAATCAATACTAGTACAATACCCGTGTATTACACGGGTGCTTGTTAAAAATTATTCTTAAATTTTAAAATTAATGAGAAAATTATATTAAATTTAATTTACTTTTTTACAAAAAAAAATATATTACTATATATTTTAGAATAATATGTGTTACTTATGACTTACATGTGTTATATTATATTAGTTTTTATAACTTATATCATATAACTACTTGAAATATAAATATATTAGTTGATAAATAATTTTATTTTTCTAATTATATTAAAAATAATTTTATTATTGTTATAAAGATAAATATAAATTATTATTTTTATACATACAATACGGATGTTAAATCGAAGCTTATCAAAAGAAGATTAATTTGATATATTACATATGTAAAACTGATAAAAAATATAAAAGTTATTAACTTTTAAAATATATATACAATTCAATAGTTATAATAATGAATGATATTAAAATACAATTAATACATGTAACATGACCATAAATAATCAACATATTTATGGTAATCCGAACCTAATTATTTTTGGTTTGAAATTAAATTAAAATTTACCCAAGCCTAATAACGAAGTATGTAATTTTGCCACATAGGATTCCGAAGCACCAGAAGCAGCCACGTAGGCTCAGCGCGTTCTGTATTAATATATAGGGGGGATTGAACATGAATAAAGCTTTACATATGAACTGGCTGAGTTGTAACAAATATTGATGTAATTTGTGTGTGTCAATTTGATTAATGAAAATTCAGAATTTCCTATCTCACAAAAGAACAAAAATAAATAAAATATTATATTCTACCACTAAAATATTCTAATAAAAAGCCTTTCCTCCTGGAGATGTATGATTGTTTAGAACAACAGTCTTTCGGTATGACTGGTTAGGTACATAGGCCGGTACATAGAAAGAAAAACGGGTTTATTGCACCAAATCTCCCTGTATTATATTAAATTTGTGCGCTTTCCTCCTGTATTTTAAAAATTGCGTCATACCCCCTTGTATTTAAGGTTTGCATGCGCGAAACCCCCTAAACCGTCTAAGATGACGACAGTGGAGTGCACGCGCGTGTTGTGCGACTTTTTCTTCATTTTTTCACCCTAAAGTGACTGAAATTACTGTTTTACCCCTGAAAATACTGAAAAAGATTTTGCTTAAGGGATCGATCTCAGGCCAAAAACTCTACACACAAGGCACCAAACCACCTTGCTACCATCATTGTATGGTATATATTTGACACACTTATCTAAAAGAACACAAAGAGAATACAACTTTATCAAACAAAAAATAAAATAAAATAATTACAAAATAGATTAACTGTAAGAAAATATAAAATAAAATAAATATTAAACTTAATAAATTTAAATGTGTAATTTGAAAAAATAAAATAATTTTATTATTTAATATTGAAACAAAATGAGACTTTCATTAAAAATAAAAATTTATAACTATAAAATAAATTTAATATAAAAATTAAAATATGTTTTCATGAATTGAAGTAATATAATATATATATATATATATATATAAATAAAATAAAATTCTTTAAAATAAAATAAATGATACTTTATTTATTATATATTATTAAAGTAGTAATTTTATAAATAAAACAAATTTAATTCAATAGCTATATATTATTTGTATTTATGACTTTTATTTAGTTTTTATATTATTTATCTTCCTAAAAAAAATAGAGAAATATATAAATTTAATTTTTCAGTAAAATTCATATTTTTAAATTTCTAATAAATAATTTAATTTTATTATTCTTAGTTTATGTTCTATATTAAATAAAAAAATGCTAAAATTAGAATCCGTTATAATTACTTATAATGAGTTATTAATAATAAGAATAAAATGAGTTATTTAATTCGTATTTTGAAATTAATGAGTTATAAATTAGAATCCGTTATAATTATTTATAATGAGTATTTAAAAATAAGAATAAAATGAGTTATTTAATACGTATTTTATAATGAGTTATTAAAAATAAGAATAAACTGAGTTATAAATTAATGAGTTATTTAAAATTCGTATTTTTAAATTTCTAATAAATAATTTAATTTTATTATTCTTATTTTATGTTCTATTAAATAAAAAATACTAAAATTAGAATCCGTTATAATTATTTATAATGAGTCATTTTTTAGTTAAGAATAATAGAATTTTTTGGGTTTATTGCACCAAATACCCTTGTATTATATGAAATCTGCGCGTTATCCCCTGGTCTTGTAGAAATTGCGTCAAACCCCCTTGTATTTAATATCTGCGTGCATACTCGCCCTTTAATGCTAACACCGTTACTTTATTACTGACGGTGTTACTTTTTCGTCGAATTTACCATTATACCTTTACCTTATCGCTGAATTTACCATTAGGTCATTATACTCTTATTTTATAACTGAATTACAATTATGCCATTACTTTATCACTGAATTTATTATTATGCCATTACTATCAAATAATATATATATATAATAACCGTTATATATATATTATATTATATAATTTAATATATATATATATATAACATATATATATATATAATGGTTAATATACATATATAATGGTTAATATATAATATATTATATATTAAATTATAATATATTATATATAATATATATAACGGTTATTATATAAATTATACAGGATAAATTGCACCAAACCCCCCCGTATTATATTAAATCTGCGCGTTATTCCTCTTTAATTTAAAAATTGCGTCAAACCCCCCGGTATTATCGTAAATTGCAACAAACCCCCCTGTATTATACTAAATTTTAAATTATCAAAATTTTTAATATAATATATTATAGATTATATTTTATATTATAATGATAAATATATATATATATTATATATATTATAATATAATATATAATATGATATATATAATAATATATTATAATGTATAATAATATATATATATGTATATTATATTATAATGATAAATATATAAAATTTTTAATCTTATCTATAATTTCGAATGTCTTTATTTAGTTATAGTATTATTTATTATTTTGAATATAATTACTTAATTATTATATTATTTATAAGTAATAATATAATTTATTCAATTATTATAAATATTTATAAGTAAGAATATAATTACTTAAATATATATAACTTAATGATAATTACAAATTGTAAGTGATATAAAAATTCAATATTTATATTTTATAATAATACAAAATAGAGCCGTACGTGGACGTTACCGCTCATACAGCTCCCAGCCAGCAAGCAGTTAGCCTTCCTATTTAAATAATTATTATACTATTTTAAAATTTATAATATATTTTATTATAATTATTATTATTATATCATTTATAATTTAGAATATTTATGATTTAAAATATATTTATTTTATTATTATATATTACTAATTTAGAATATATTTAGTTAATTAATATATTATTTATAATTTAGAATATATTTATTAAATTATTATATATTCGTAATTTATAATCGACTTACTTCATTATTATATTATTTATAAGTTAGAAAATATTTTCTTAATTATTGCATTATTTATAATTAATTATAACTTGTAATCTATATATTTAATTACTACATTATTTCTAATTAATTGTTATGATATTTCTTCTTTACGTTATGATATATATAAATAGAATCACATTTGTAACTAAATATTGACTATCTCAGTTGGTGGGAGATGCTCTTTTTAACCCAAGGTACAGGGTTCAATCCCCACCTTTGTATTTTAATTTTATGGTAACATATTTTCAACAGGGCATAATCGTAAATTCATTGATAAAGGAA